GAAATAAAATTGGAATTGTGCAGAGATAACTTTCTTTAGCACGTTGCCATTTTCTTTCTGTCGCCTTCTATTCTTTGGGGCTGATAAAATGACAGTCCCGACTTCACTTTTATGTAGGCTATTTTTAGATTTTCTTCAGACATTCTTTAACCATTTCTCTCACGCAGGCCACATACTCCAGGGATCATTTTATTCTTTGATGGGGTTATTAAGCAATCACTGCCGTACTAGGTCATTACTAGAAGTCGCACTTCAGAGCCAGAAACACAGGAAGAGGGACAAACGGTTTCTCTTTCAGCAGAAGACTTATCCTGGGAAGGAGAAGTCAGGGCGTTGATTACAGAAATCAGGATGATCGGGCTGCGAGTTATTCCCCGCGGTTGGGGTTCCCCTGCCCCCAAGCCACTGCTTTTCCCATGGAGTCCAGCATCCCTTCTCTCCCAGTGGAGCCAGCCTCATGCATGTGTGCAGGTTTAGTGCTGGAAGGGAGGGTCAGCTTTACCCTGACATAATCACTCTTTTATGGCCCTCACTCATTCCTGAGGTGTTAATGCAGATCAAATGGGAAACACTCGGGAAAGAAGGCTTGGAGCTACTGCCCGCCTCGCTGTCCCGTCTCAATCGTTAATTCTGATTGTAAGATCTAAAGGTAATTTTGTTTGCTCTCTTAATGCGTTGCAGTTCTCCCAGTGGCCCCTGCATATCCTTTCTCAAATTCCCATCTTGATCAATTGTTTGCAAATAATTAAGCTTTTAAGAGATAATGGCATGAGGCTAATGTACACAACAAAGGCGAGGTCTCCTGTCACTACCTATTGGACTGTGGTCAAATTTGCTTTGATATCCCAAAGTGATTAGGTTGATTGGTGTAGCTGGCAAGGGCGACCCATCTTCCCTTCATAAGAACCTCCTGATCTTCCTTAAAGCGGTGTCCTTGCCATGAATAGCAGAAGTGTTCTGGAGAAGGGCAAGGGGTGACCTAGGTTCTTGGTTGCAGTGGTTTGGAAGGAAGCTCCCATTCTCTTCCTCACATGGCACTTCTCTTTATCTCTTTTGTAAAATGATGTCTACCTTTGCCCCTCTAATGGCCTCACCAGCCCTGCGGGCAAAACACAACAGGATTTCGAATGTTTTTACAGCAGCCTTGCTCGTGGCATGTTGGGTTTTTGTCAAGTCGGTTTTTTTTTTTTTTTTTTTAAGTCTACAAAGGAATAACTCATACTGTCCACAAAAAGCTTATTTAGGAAAGATGTATAGGATTTAAGATATTTAAAGATACTGGATTTCAGTTAAAAGCTTGCTTCTTTGTGAATTTTTGGCTGACTGTGGATTAGCTACCTGAAGTCACGGCTTTCATGTGATTCTAGCAATTATGGTTGGGTGTGTGTGTGTGTGTGTGTGTGAGTGTGTGTGTGTATGTGTGTGTTTTCTGGGAATTAAAAGTTTGTGGGACATGCAGGCCAAGAACTATGAGAAAAAGAAAAAAATTCGTCTCCCTGCCATAGACAAAGGTTTAGGGAATTTTGTTGACACCTTTCCCTTCCCCCCCACCTCCAACAATGACCAGATTATTGTGACATTTAATTTCATCTGGGCTCATTCATTTCTATTAAAAAAAATATATCCTGAATGACTGAAAATTGTTTAATGGAGACAGAGTGCTGGGTCTCCATAGCTTGAGGCTGCCTAGCAATTATGCTGCATGAAATTAGACACAGTTTGTTCCAATTACTTAAAATCAGATCACATGAAAAGTGACAGAAGGAAAAAAGGCTGGAACTTTCTCATTTTATGATATTTAAATTATGAAATCAGAAACTGTGTGATGTGAAGAAACAACCTAAATTTGCACTGAAATTTTGAGGGCCATCGATTGCTCTTTGAAGCTGTAATGATTCAGGTAATTTTAATGATCCAGAGAGAATTTTCCTGACACCACCTGCATAAATAAAATGTGAGTTCCATTTGCTTTGTAAGAATGGTTGTGAAACTTACTCACAAACAGGCATGCAAAAATACTCTTGAAAACACAGCACAAATAAATGACTGTGACCATTCTCAATTTTCAAAGTAACTAAAGGAAGGTAAATGGCATAAATATTAATTTTTATCCAGTTCTGGTCATCATATTAAGACACAACTAACAAGACAGGGCAAAAGGTATTGCCATCAGGCTATAGTGAAGAGAGACTGGTGACATATTTATTAATTCTATTGAAAATCACTGAGCTTTCCACAGGACCTAAGAAACCATAAGCAAATTACAGAAGATTGGAGATGACTTGTGTACACGGGTCTACAGCTTTGTATGGCAAGGAGTGCCAACCGCTTGGATGCCAAAATTTGCGTTTTTCAAAATCAGGCTTAGAATGTGTAAAGAATTGCAAGCCTGGGTAACCTTTAACTTTGAGGGTTCCTAAACTCCACATGACAAAATTGAGGATTCAAAAAATTGTCCCATGTTTGGGACATAATCATTGAGCGGCAGCGTAATTTATACAATTTAATAGGGTCGTGTGTACCTTATATACAATCCTTCGACCACTGTAGACATAGAACTTCTATATATCAAACCCAAATTCAGTATCTGTTCATAGGATAAGAGGTTCGTGTGGCAGGAGCGTTGTGCGGCAGGAGCTAGGTTTTTTAACCTTAGGGTGGAGAACTGCTTTTAACTCATGAGATTGTGCCTGGGATGCCTGGCATTATTTTGAGTAGGGGGATTGTAACCTATGATCTCAGCCTATTAGGAAGTTTACATACTTACTTGAGAAGAATGGATTGACATCACTGTTGCAAATGAAGTCAGGAAAATAGCTTTGTGGATCTCCAGTAGGGTTGTTTATCCCTCCTGTGGGCTGTTGAAAGAAACTTTATTATACGTTTCCATGTTGCATCTAAGTGGAGAGTATCTGTGTGTCGGGGCAGGACGTAGCCTCCTTCTTGCTTCACAGATATTTACTGATCTCCTGTTGCGTGCCTGACTGGGCTTTGAGAATGGTGAAGGAGAAAGTCACGGACTTTGGTGTTGTTAGGTGAGTGAGAGGAGGTGCACCCACACAAGGCAGCTCATCAGAGCAGGTGTATCGGAGAGCCATGCTTTGCCATCAGGGAAGAAGGAAAAGCCTGATGTGAGAACAGTAAGGTGGGCTGCTGGACAAATGGATAGGTGAGGCTTGGCCTTTGGTCTGAGATGAGAAAGTGACCCTGCAGAGTCAAGGTTGGTGTGTCGAAAGAACAAAAAGGAGGACTGTGTGGCTGGACAGAGGGGTGGGACGGGGGTGAAGAGAAAGCCACCAAGTCTGAGAGGTGGGCAGAGCTGGATGGTGGCATGCCTTACAGGCCATAGGAAGCAGTCTGGAGGTTTTGGAGCGAGCACAAGAATGAAGATTCTAAGAGGCATTTGGCACATCCCTCATCATGGTGAGGCTTTGACACTGGAAGGGAAGCAGGAAATATCGCAGAGTTTTGTGGCTGCTGACCATGTCTTTCCCTAGCCAGTTTCCTCACCTGTAAGACAGGAGGGACGATAGATTCCATTTATGTCCCTCAAAGGGATATAATGGGGATTAATCACCATCCTGTCTGTAATATACTTGGAGCTCTTTAGAGAAAGGCACTATATTCCATGAAAGCAAAGCCTTATTCTAATTGTGTATTTATTGATTAAGTGACAATCAAAGACAATGCTTATGGGAAAAATTGCTACATCTCTGCTCTCCGCAAACGAATCCCACGTGTACAGATATAGAACATATTTAAACTTACATATAAGAGCATTAAAGTGGTCATTAACGAGCCTTCTTAGCATCTAATCAGACATTATTAATGAGATTAAAAGCTATGTTAATTAACATTCAATAGACCAGAATTTACTTTCCAATGGCACAGGTAGTTAAATTGAGAGTTGAGGGTGCCCTTTCTCATTCATAAGGGAGTAGAGCATTGACTGGCAGAACAATTCTTATCTTGGGAGAATTTATTGGGATGCAGTGTTTCAAGCTGGTCAGTGTGTCCATAGATAGTTACCATGTCCCAGGATTTAGAAATGTGTATTTCAGATTTAGATAGAGTTCATTACCGGACAAAAAGTGCTTGTGCCAAAACTAATTTCAGTAGAATTCCAAACATTCTTTCAAGAGGGTATGAATTTCATTTTATTATCTAATCCCGTAATACTTTTTTATCCACTCTAACTCATGAAGAACATGGCCGGGCTTGTTCTTAGCATGCAAAATATGCTGGTCTTTGACCTTGTATTGGCCTGTGTTCAGAATCCCAGCATGTGTTGACATTCAGATATGGAAACCAACTTCAGTTGAATGTCATTTGTTTGCATTACAGAAGAGCTACAATGATTAGTGGTTAAAAAAAAAATACACGCACTTTAATTTTGATATTTGCATCTGGCACTATAGTGTTTTGGAGGGAAAAATGTCATGCTAGCAAAATGTTTAACTGCTGGGGACCTGAACTAAGGTGGTTGGTCCAAATGGTTCAGCTTTAGAAGTCCATGGTTCTGTGAAAGTATTACGTCAAGGTGATACGCTTTCATATCATCAAAAAGAGCTTGTCTTTATTTTAATCCTATAAAGTACAGTGAAGATCATACTAAACTTTCTGTGTTTGCAACAAATAAACCTTTAAAGGATAAACTCAGTATCAAGGTTCTGCAAGTATCCTAAGTAGCTATTTATACACTCCACTAATCTTTGTAATTGGCTTGTCTTTTACTGCCATTAATTAGATGATGTAGTATTCCATTAATAAGAGTGACACACCTCAGCATTTTTACCTTTAATTATAGACTTCACTAGACACTTAGGCTATTGACAAAATAGCCTAAATATTGCCTGATGTACACACACATTTTTTTTTACAGAGCGTATGTGTTTATTATTGAATCTGTAGCCCCTAGCTTTGCACCTGACACGTGATACGCACAACACTATCTGCCCCAAATATATGTGCGCACATCTATCTCGTTTGTTCTCTTTCAGCACCCTTACCCTTCCGAAGAACAGAAAAAGCAGCTGGCACAAGACACGGGACTCACCATCCTACAAGTGAACAATTGGTAAGTAATTTGGCTTTGTGATTACTCACAATCTGCTTCCCGCTCTGGCCACCTGCAGCTACTGTTCTGCATTGAGAAGACACACCAGGTTGTTGCTGTTTCCCCTGATGGCTTGTGGATCCAAAGTGAAAGTAAAAGGTTGACTGATAGGTGAGAGCATTTGCTAGCATGGAAACCACTGCCCCCAACATTGCATTGTTTTTCATTGCCTTTAAAATTGACAAATTTTAGGTGTGGTACTACTGTTTAGTTCATGTTCATTGTGGTTCCATAAATGGCTCCTCCTGCCACCCCGAGGATAACTGATAGAGCGATATCACCCTGTTTTCTATGGAACAAGAAAATCCACTGTCACATACGAATAACCGGTTATTTTGCTAGGGCTGAGCATTCAAGGATAGTCTCCCGTTTCCTCCTACCTCCCATCCATGGAAAAAGAGAAATTATTTATGTTTCCACTTTGAAGCTATTCAAAACCTGCTGTATCTCTGGCCTGTGCAATACTGTTGCTAAATAAATGTGTGAATTCCTGATTTGGGGGAAGCAGAGATTCCGTACCAAGTACCAGCCAACAATATTCTGACAATGTGCAGCGGTATGGCAACGAGGCTTTGGGAAAGTATGATTTATTACCCTTTGTGAGTGTGCTGAAAGCCAGGTTCATGTAATCACCCAGAGCTAGTGTCATATTTGAAGGGTATCGAAATCCAATATCCTCTCAAACTAAGTGTATCTAATTAATTGTCCTAATATTTTTAGATTAGTGTTTATGATGGGAAACCTTATCCTCTTTGAAGTAAAATCCAGAAAAGGCCCACAGCCTGGTTGGGGAAAGGGGAGAACTGGGAATGCCAGTTTGCAGACAGAAGTATTTCTTTCTGTTCAATAAGTGTCAAAGATTAATATTGCAGAATCTCTGATTACATGGCCTAATCCATTTTGGTGAATAAATTTGTTCTTGATGTCCACTGCACCTACATTAACAGACCCTTCTCTGTTAGAGAGCCTGGGAGCCTTTGGGAGAGATTCCAGATATATTAAAGCCCATTACAGAAAATGTAATTTCTGTCAATATAATCCCATGTATTCTTCAATTTAGTATTTTAGAGATAACAAGCTACTTACAATATATTTGCCTTTGGAGGATTAATTCACAAAGTGCACTATCTGCAAGACACAGACAGACTCACATAAGCATTGCTTGTAAGGGTTATCAATTTCTATGACCTTACCGCAGCCTTGGGAGATCAATTTTTGCAGCCCTTTAGTCAAGTAGATGGGGAGCCAACAGAAGCCGTACTCTACCGAAATGTCTTGCTAGGAGTGTGTCCCTGCCTAGGGTTTTTGTTTGCCTAGTCGTGCCTGCTGTTGTATCTTAATTTCCAAGACTGTTGATACTATATATTTGAACTTGGGCTTCAGGTCCTCGTGGGCAATGTTTATAGAGTAGACCTTCAATTTTGCATGCATGTCTGAATTCAGATGCATTTTCAAGGTTAAACTGATGACGCAATTTTAATACAACAGAGGCTGCACAATGTTATGTCCCTGGGAAACGTTCCCGTTTGAGGGCCAAGGAGTGGCAGGGCGAACTCTAATTAAGGAAGGCGAAAGAACGGCCGCTCAGGTGATCTGTCACACGCGCCATCTCTCTTCCTCTGCAGTGTCGCTAGCAAACACCTTCTACAGACATTGTCACCAGAGAACGAATCCCGAGACAACTTGCCCGCCACAGGTGGGCGAACTTCAGGGCTATTTCCCTGTGGCTGCATGGGCAGGCAGGCAGGCATGCCTGGGACACCGAACAGTAGGCAGTTGTCACTTTCCCAGATTCTATGTGGTGACCCTAAAGTGATTTCCTCAGTTTTGCAAGTAGAGGAGGAAAGAGGGACCTTTAAAAAGTTCTAATACTTTTCAGAGTTATATGCTGTCTATATATATATACTTACTGTCCACCTCACATTGACACTCAGTGGTGCACAGATACCTAAACATGTCACTTCTGGTTCTGGGGGCTGTGAACACTGTTGTGTTCTCCACGGGCCCTGCGACTGTGCCTGTGTCTCCCGACTCCTGTGCGCAGTCCCAGGTGGCTTTGGCTCGCACTTCATTGTTTGGTACTTGGCAACTCTTTCAGCTCTGACAACTCTGTGGTAGAGAATTTCCCTCAAGTTAATAAAAATTGTCAGAGAGATTGTTTCTCCTAAGTTTGGTGAATAATGACATCCCCGTGTTCGAGTTGAGATTCTAAGGGTTTCTTAATTTTCTTCCAAACCTTCAACTTTTAAGGAGCTGATCATAGATTTTTTTTTTTTGGCTTTGAGTAGGAAGTAGGTTGCAAAAATGGGGAAACCCAGATGGTATTGTATGAAAACCAAAGATGTCAGAGCAGCTTGAATTGTGGCCTCCTTGAAGACTGAAAGCAGCATAACCACTAAAGGCTTTTCATTTTACTTTACCATAATACAGCATTACACAAAGCTTTCTTGAGAGCTTGTAAACGTTTTTTCCTGTATTGAGCATCAAGCCCAAGTTCCTTCTTTCTGGAAATCCTAATTAAAAGAAAATCCTCATTAGTATTTTAACATTTCCCCTTCACTTCATTTAGCCACAACATTAAAAAATGGGTGTCTTCCCTCTTGGATTTCTTAAAACTTGTTAACACACATGTACATTTTGTATGAACTATGAGTCACTGTTGAAGAGATTTAACAAAATGCTGAAGGGCAGGTTGGGTGTAGATCAGTCGTAATTATTGGCAGCAACATCGTGTATCGAAATGCACAATATGAAAGTGAAAAATATAAACTCATCTAGTTGTGAGCTTGTCTTAGAAATGCTGGCCGATGCAGCTTTCGGTTAGGTTTTGACTGAAACCTAGATGAGCAAAGTTTGGTGTGTTGCAATGGCTCTTTTCATCCCGTCACTGAACTGATCTCCCCTCTCTCTCATTGCCATGAGTGATACAAACTCCCTGTCTTGGCTAGCCAAGACCAAAGCAGATGGGATCTGGGGAGAGAGGAGACAATAGGGAGAATTTAAACGGAAAACAACAAGACAGATTTGATTAATTAAAAGAAAATTTGGATTAAGAGAAATAACTCTTGTAACTCTTATGTTTGATCTACGTGTCAGGATGAAAACAGGGAGGAGGCATCTTAAAATGGTTGCTATTAGTGCTTATAGGTACTGGGCCCAGGGATGGAATGTGAAATTTATTAGATGAGACATTGTAGGACAAATCTCCGCCAACAGATTTTTTTTGAGAATTGAGACAATGAGGCAAATAATTTGGGTGAAAATATTTTTACGTTAATTGTAGAAGTATCTGAGGCAACTGCATGTTTTTCAAAAATCAACTTCCCTAACTCATTGCCTAAGCATTTATTTCCCTCTAGCATGCCACGGTAGACCTAGACTTCAAAGCACAGTGATTTTTAAAAATATAATATGTGCTATACATTCACGTATTCTTCTTTCTTTGCTTTCTCCTTCCCAATTATGATTTGATCCCAACATGAGAACTAATAGCATTTGCGACTTTGGCCTTTTTGTTTTTCCATTGTTGTTGTGGCTGTGAAAATTACTTCTGTAACATCACCCACGAAAACATATTACTACCATGTTGAATGTTTTAGTCATTTAAGCAGAAACTTCTTAAATTTTGAGATGGTTATTTAGATCTTTAATTATTTAGGTAGAACTTGGAAGAAAACACACACTCGCATACACACACAGAGTCAATACTTGGTTCTTTTTTTTCTACTGAATACACCAACTTAATTTTTTTTTTTTGGAAATGCGGGTGTAGAATGGCCTTCCTCCTCTGTTTTCACAGCAGTGCTGCAGAGCTGGGCCTTCCATATGATGCAGACCTGTGCCTGTGGTTGTGTGTTACTTGCTGGGTGCCTCAGACAACATTCTGCCTCAGCAGAGTTCTAGCCTAGAGTGTATTGAATAAATTTTACAGTTTCTTTGTTTACTACTACTCATCCAAACACTTTCCCATCAAGCCCTAATGTTAAATGATTATTTCTTTATGCTCTGAGAAGGCAATGTGGAACTTAGGTGCAAAGTATATAGTGTATGTGAAATGTGGTCTGTATGCGGAAAGAAAAATCACTCTCCCCATCAGTTGGATGCATAAAATTCCAGGGAGCATCCTAATATCCGAGGTGACACTTTTTACAGAACTATCACAGCTCTACCGTTCTCAAATTTAGTACATAGACCAGATTTTCCTAGTTACTTCATTTACTGCCTTCAAAACTGCAAAGCATTCAGGCATCACTTCCCATTTATTACCAGTGGCGGGGGGGTATGTTATCCTTAGAGATTTATGCCACTGGCAGGTAAAAATGTAAACTTATTTTTAAAAAATGGGATCTCCCTTATAATAAACAGATTCAACTGTTAAAGGTCAGGTTTCTTTCTGAGTTATGGCAATAATGTAGCAAATACTTTTATAAGTAATCAAAGATTCTATAAATATAGGTACCTGTGTAGATGTAAATGTTAAAACATTCACAAATTATCCTTTCAACTTCTGTGATCTAAAAATCAATAGGGGGTCACAGGGTTTCATAGAATTGCTCTGCTTTTTCTTCCAACATAATTTAATAATACATTTTACAGATGTTGTTTAAACATTAGGCACAGATTGTTTTGTCAATAAAGCTAAACAGAGGCATGACACAACAGCAAGGAAAACAGATGTAAAAAACAGTGCAAGAAGCACTGGGTCATTTGTTTGCTATTCAACTGCAAAATGAAAGTGCAGGGTGTATAGTGATTTTCCTGGCCTAGAAATCACCTAGGGATGGAACAACTTCACACACAAAAGATAATTTTATTAAGCAGGTGGTTTGACTTTTTCCCTTGAGGATTTCTGTGTAACCTACATCTAAGGTAGACTTCCTAACTGATCAGCGGAGTAACAGGTGCAATGTTCTCGAAAGAAGGAAGAGAAGCAGGAGAAACAGAAGTAGGCTGACTCTCCA